TATATATATATATATATATTCACACTCACACAAATACAGGAGTGGATTCGGAAGTTACAGGGGATGCTCACACCACACTTTTTGCGATTACCAGAAGCCAAAATACTTGATTTAGTTTTCCTGACACATTGTAGTGTGTTGTGTTGTTTTTAAATGCAGCGTGTACCATTTTTCTCACAGCAGCTTCGTGTGAACTGAGCCTATTGGGAACAATGGATTTCAGCTCGTCATTGCTTTTGGCCTGACTTGAGCTCTTTGTTGAGTTCTTTGTTTTAGTGAATGCTGAAATGTGACAGTAAACATGACAGCTCTCTTCTAGAACACAATACTACAATATTTCAATCAATGACGATGCATCAGATAATTGCCAAGCTTTCTATGTTTAGCTGTGTGCAATCAGATCATTTCCATATGATACTAAACACTGTCTAGTAGTGTGCACAATTACTACACGTACAAACTTCCATATACACCCAGAACAATCCTGACCTTCACATTTCACCCACATTGCTATCTCCTCCCACCATACAGCCTTATCATGATCATTCCCTGTGCACTACAGAGCTGTTAAATCTCCTGTTATCAGGGCTGCGTGTAATGTCTCAGATGTAAATGTGTGTGCAATATTTTATAAATATATAGTCCTAAGAAATGTCAAGCTCAATGGGAAGGCTTTGCATTCCCATCATGCAGGCAGGATATGAGCTTGTAGAAGCCACAACAGCTGATCTAATCTACCACCCTTAAAGTAGAACTGAAGCCAAAACGTTTTTTGGGATAGAATTAGCCCTGGTTCACACCTAGGCGTATTGCATATGCGCGTCTGTCGCGCGTTTTGTTTTACCGCGATTCGCGGTAAAAAAAATCTCGCGACAAATGCGTGTTTCCTAGGGCTACTTGGCTGTATCCCAATGGAAACGCGCAACAAAAACGGCCCAAAGTAGTACCTGTACCTTTTCAGGCGTGGGCCGTTTTGTAGCGCGTTAGGGACGGGCTGAAATACGCCAAGGTGTGAACCAGACCCATTGAATACAATGGTATTTAGATGTTTGAGCGTTTTGTAGAGCGTTCATCGAGCGTAGAACGCGCTACAAAACGTTCAGGTGTGAACGAGGGCTTAGGGAGGGAAGTCAGCAGCGTCACCAGAACCAGTGTCTCCATCGGAAGATTCCTCATGTATTCCTGTTCTGGTGACAACCTACAATGTCACTTTTAATAACGGTTGCCAGGACAAAGACGGTGACTCTCCCTGCCGGGGACACAGACAGCGAGATAAACCTGACAGCTGTCCTAATCCCTCTCCATTCTATCCATAACTAGAACAAAAGGTTTGGCTTCAGTTGTACTTTAAGGCAAAATGTCAAAAGCTGATCTCCAGGCAAAATGCATTGATCAATCCATATATAATGTATGAAGTGTTTTACCTGCCAAATGATTTGTAATTCTATTCAGCCAGTCTTTGTGAACTGGGCACCCCTACCAAACAGCTCAACCAGGTTCTATGTCTCTCTACAGACAACACTGCAGTTCAGCCAAGTCAAAGAGCTGCAGGAGGGCTTTCTTGTGAGAATTCAAGGTCTTTGACTTGGCTGTATTTCTGAATTGTTGTCTGCAGAGAGATCTACAACCTGACTGTGCAGTTTGGAAGGGGTGGTCACTACTGGAGGGCATTCTCAGGGGATTCTGTGTGCCCAGGAGACAGCGGTGAGGTGCAGTGATTTCACCTGTGCCCTCTGGAAGCATCGGAATGCGGGGGCAAATGTTTTTGGTTACATTTTTATTTGAGGTTTGTTTTTTTTAAACAAATTCTGTTTAGTAGGTGAGACTCACAGTAATCCCGACCTGTCATTTTCATAAAAGACCCTCGGGAAAGAAAAAAAATTATTTTACCTCCCTTAGGGCCCTATCCTACCATCAAGAGTGCCTTCCAGTGCGTTCGGCCTCTGGAACCCAACCCGGCCAGCTCACTTTATTTTGGGGCGGGAAGGGGGCGTGGCGGTGCATTGAACTCAATGGCACCTCAGCCTCACCCCCGCTGTGATCGCCGGCACCCGACGCGTGGCACATTACCGTAGTGCCTGTGTTCCGATCCAGTGCGATCTGCAAAAAATGCTGCATGCACTATGACTTCATGTAAAGAATCTCATACAACTGCTGAATCAATGCCACATCATACCACCTGCCTGGACATATCCTGGCATTACAACAAGTTCTAGTAGTTTGGTAGCTCTTCAGTCTGCTGCTTCTCTTTTCACTGTCCAATCACAGGCTGGGGGAGGGACAAGACCTGTAAGTGTCACTTAATTGCAGCAGAGAAAAAACCTAGGTCTTCTGCACTGCCAGAAAGGGCCCTGTCATTCATTCACAGATTACAAATCCCCTATACCAGCAGATCAGGGGGACTTGCAGATCTCAATGGAGTGCACGTTTGGTGACATGACTGCACTTCAAGGACACTGATTACTTCCTCCAGCCCCATAATGGTAGGTCGGTACCTGGGTGCAGACCTGGGGTTAGAGTCCGCAGGAGCCTGAACATTGCACCCATGGTTCACTGATCAGTTGCAATGTTCTGCAGGCTCCAATGCAAAAATGTAATAAATGCACACTTTCTATTTTATTGATGTGTATGCTTTCATTATATCTTGGCAAAAAGGTGGACTGCGCCTTTTAACAAAACCTTGATGCTCTATAAACGGTCTACCAATGGAAGCCTCCATTGAGGAACACACTCATGACTCATAGGACAATGGAGGGGCAAAACACATCCTGCTGAGAGTTTGCAGTTTTCTGCAGCAATAATTATTTTGTGGTCACATGTTCACAATAAAAATGCTTTTCGTAGACAAACGTCTTGTTTACTGACAAAATCCCAAACAGGGGAGTGAGGACGATCCGACAAGAGGTCATGTCACTGCCAACTCTCCATGTACAGCCACTAAGTTCAGGCACACAGCTCATTCCCACCCCTTTACCCGGGAACCCCACGTTCTACTCACGGGGAAACCTGAAGGGTGGGCCGAGCGAACATCAGCCGCTATGCCGCCAGGAGGCGCTTCCGATTGATTGCTGCTATATAGAATACAGCCCTGGAGCAAGATGACGCTGGGCGGGGCCATGGCGTCACATCGCGCAGATTCTTTGAATGGGGCTCCTGTCCCGTGAACTGAGGGTAGGGGGCAGAACCGAGCGCATGGAATATGACAGGCGCTGCCAATTGTACTACAAATGTATTCACATATCTGTAAACATATTGGCACTAAGTGGCAATAATATATACAGATAAATAATCAAATAAATAATAATCAAATAAATAATAATCAGATAAATAATACACAATAGCAATTTGTCTATCAAAAGCGCGGCGTAGGCTACGACAAAATGGCTGACGCGTGCACTGGGTTTATACGCCGTGCGAAGGTGGAGCTTTAGATAATAACGGCTTCTGGGTTTGTATAGTCATAGGCACCAGTGAAGGTTAAAAACACGGTCGCTTTTGAGTGACTGTATTTGCCCACAAGTAATATGGCGCCTTCGGAAGAATGGGAGTGGGTCACGTGAAACAGCACTTTGACCCACATCTTGAAGCTCAGGGAATCTAGCTGTTATGTAGCTCGGGCTAACTGCGGAAGGTAAGTACATTTTGCCAATGCCGAACGGATTTTTTTATTCAATGGACAGCGTCATTTTAATGAAGGTTGTAGTTTACAATGTATTTAGTAACTAATGGAAATGTCCTTGGTTTTCAGAAACTGATCACCAGAACTATAAAGTTTTTTTAGTGTTCAATTAGTATTTATTATTTTAGTATTTATAACCTATTAAAGATACAAGAAGACTATATATGCAAGAAAAATTTCTATTTTCTAATTTAGTAAAACTGTCATTAATGAGTTTCTAGTCTTCAATGGCAGTATGTGTCAGTGATCATCGTAGCTATACTCTATTCTGGCCAATATGACGCAGCGATCAGTTTAGCTATGTCTGTGCTTATACTTTATTTTTTGTCTTAGAGCTCAAGACTTCTGCGCTCTTCTGTGTACATCTTGTATATACGTGTGATTACTGACCGGCGGCGGCATCATGGCTTCAGTGGGTGAAGATGACGAGCGCTCACCACTTCTGCAGTCATCAGCATCAGACCCAGGGTAATGTTGTAAATGTTTATCAAAAGGAAACTTACTGCATATATCTCGTAGAACTCTATCAATAGGCTTAAAGCTGAAAGGACAAAAACGTTCCTGTAAATTTATTTCTCAATGCCCACAAAGGATATAAATCCACTGTGTTGTGCATAGCCTGTGCTGAGAGCAGAGCTGTGGGAGGTATCCAGTAGGCCCCACCCACTAAAAGTTGTTTGCAGAAAGCTGCAGGAGGGGGCGATACAAGATCATCACCCTGCACATGGAGAGAGCAGCACTGACTGGTCTTTATTAGAGGTGCACCGAAGTAACCATACTATCTCCTCAAATATGTACAAACACTCAGCGATCACTGAGTGTTTGTACTCCCTCTCCTTCCTGACAGCTGTCACCGCAGGCTGAGCGAGCGGTGTGGGAGGAGAGCTCAGACTGCTGTGACAGCAATGAAAGCTGTCTCCGCCCACACCACCGCTCTCCATCCTGGATTGTCTGTGACAGCGCTGGTTGTCTCCGCCCCCCCACCGCTCTCCCGATCTGTGACAGGAGGCTGAGCGGTGCAGGGAGGAGAGATGCCGGCCGCTCACAGCGTATGGCAGTATGTGTCAGTGATCATCGTAGCTATACTCTATTCTGGCCAATATGACGCAGCGATCAGTTTAGCTATGTCTGTGCTTATACTTTATTTTTTGTCTTAGAGCTCAAGACTTCTGCGCTCTTCTGTGTACATCTTGTATATACGTGTGATTACTGACCGGCGGCGGCATCATGGCTTCAGTGGGTGAAGATGACGAGCGCTCACCACTTCTGCAGTCATCAGCATCAGACCCAGGGTAATGTTGTAAATGTTTATCAAAAGGAAACTTACTGCATATATCTCGTAGAACTCTATCAATAGGCTTAAAGCTGAAAGGACAAAAACGTTCCTGTAAATTTATTTCTCAATGCCCACAAAGGATATAAATCCACTGTGTTGTGCATAGCCTGTGCTGAGAGCAGAGCTGTGGGAGGTATCCAGTAGGCCCCACCCACTAAAAGTTGTTTGCAGAAAGCTGCAGGAGGGGGCGATACAAGATCATCACCCTGCACATGGAGAGAGCAGCACTGACTGGTCTTTATTAGAGGTGCACCGAAGTAACCATACTATCTCCTCAAATATGTACAAACACTCAGCGATCACTGAGTGTTTGTACTCCCTCTCCTTCCTGACAGCTGTCACCGCAGGCTGAGCGAGCGGTGTGGGAGGAGAGCTCAGACTGCTGTGACAGCAATGAAAGCTGTCTCCGCCCACACCACCGCTCTCCATCCTGGATTGTCTGTGACAGCGCTGGTTGTCTCCGCCCCCCCACCGCTCTCCCGATCTGTGACAGGAGGCTGAGCGGTGCAGGGAGGAGAGATGCCGGCCGCTCACAGCGCTCTCCTCCCCCGCACCGCTCGGCCGCCTGTGACAGTTTCTCTCATCCCGCTGGGACACAGAGCAGCGCCCAGCAGGGAGGAGAGGGAACGGATGTACCGCTAATTCGGTCAGAAAATTGCACTTTCGGCATTTTGCCAAAAGTGCCATTTTCGGCCAATATGTTTCGGGGTCCGATATATGAGGGCACCCCTAGTCTACAGGAATCTCCTGCGCAGAGGCAAAGTTTCACACTGGATTGCTGCACAGATCTGAAAAAAATACATAATGACTTGTGACACGTGTACTTCCTAATTAGGCAAATCATTTTTGTGGTTCAGGAATTCAGCTTCTCATGTCACCTGTCTGCCTCCAGCCTTGTAAATGGACCCTGCATTAGTATCCTCATCATTGTCCAGTGAGCTGGAAGCTGACCCAGGAAACCTTGATGCTAAACCAGGAAGTAAAAAAAAAAGGCTCTTATGACCATTTGACTATCACAAGAATGGCTGTCTAAATGACCGTTTGCCAGGTAAAACGGTAACGTATACTGTATGCATTTGGCTCGGGTGAAGAATCCTATTATTCTCAATGGGCAAACCCGAGTGTGGTGTTGCTTGTTGCATGAAGCTGTCAAAAACAACCTGGGCTTCCTTTTGGGCAGATTCATGCATTTTTGTCCCTATAGACTTTCATGGCTGAAAAAGAATACTTTGTTTACATGCCGTTTTCAGGCGCTGCCTTTTAAAAGTCTATGGGCCAGAAGTGTACAATTCTGCTCCTGTACTGCATGTACAAACACACAAAAAGCCTCTGAATCACCTGGCTATGCTCATGTTAAGTTGTGGATGGGCACCTAAAACGGTTACAGTTCTACTCTTGGCAAATAGCTCATTTACCATTATCTTATTTATATCACTATATTATTTTATTTATATCACTATCTTATTTACCATTCTTCTAAAATATCTGTCCTCTATTGTATTGGGTAATATTTCCATTAAAATGACTTTGTGTTGGTTTTAGTGTCGTCATTGAAACTCAAGATCAGCACAAAAGCAGATGGTGGTCCATCAGGATTATGTACCTTACCATGTTTCTCAGCAGTGTAGGTGAGTATAAACAAGCCCAGTAAGACTTGTTGAAGCTAGGAATTTTAAGGTCTCATTCGCACGGCGATTTTATGGCTGACTGGGAATGACTTTGGCAAGAATAGCCGTTTCTCTGTGCCAGGAATCATAGGTAGTTCCCGACAGCTGTGGCCTCTCGCTATGCAAAGCAATGCCAGACTGACCGGAGACTCAGTCCATCAGTATCTGCACATTCAATGGTTATCCTTGGCTAAGGAGAGATGACTGGCCCTGGACACAATCGATCTGCGTCCAGGGCCGGTCATCTGTCCCTAGCCACAGGTAACTGCTGATTGTTAAGATATTTATGGATCGTGGTGGACAGCTGCTGCTCCTGTCAGCTTGTCATTGCTTTGCGCAGGCTGAATGGCCGCACTTGTGATTCCTGCTGCAGGAATCTGCAGCCAGACGTAATGTGTCGCTGTGTTTTGCATGCCTGTTTATAATAGAATGAGGCCTTTCTGTCCGGTAATGTCATACTGTGTTTTGCATGCCTGTTTATATTAGATCTACAATTCTGATCATTATTTCAGAGTGCTGTATACATGTGTTTTGCCATGTGCCCTTGATTGTGAACTGAACAAAAATAACCCCAACATTTAGTCTGCAAAGCAATGTCTTTGTTGTTGACCGCAACCAATCTTTTTGTTTTTTATTTTCTGACCATTGCATGTTCATATACAGTTGGTAATATTTGATTTATTTTTAAATCCTTTAATATGAAACGCCAGACAGATAACTAGATATTTGGTTAACCACATATATGTGATTACACATCTGTACCCCACTGTATAGTCGGGAAGATGATTCCACTCTTCTAGTTCAGCTTCACAGTTTGCTATGTTATCTGCCTGCTCACTGGACTGGATCTACAGTGTGGTAATGCAGACTGATTTTCTAGTAAGAAGGTTGTGTGCATAAAGGTGACGCATGAATCTGAAAAGCTGACCCAGGAAACTGAGGTGTCACCTGCCTATCTTTGTACAACAATAACCATTGTATCCAGATATGGGGGGAGCATGTGACCTCCTGTGTGACAGTGATGTAGTCTAGCAGCCTAGTCGCTAGATCCTAGCAGTCACATGACCGAGAGTGACATCACTACTCCCCTTGGCATCCAACACAATTGGAGGCTGCAGTGGAGGAAGGAGTTGTGGGGGAACACGGGCAAGGTTAGTATCCATGGGTCAAGAGAGTCCCTTTTGGAAAGACACTGCGGCTGATTTACACAACATTCACACAATAAATTCAGTGAATGTTACCTGAAATTTTCCAATCCTGTGAAAGTAAATTCTTGTTTATTTATTTCATATTCACATGATTGGGTATTGAAAGTAACCAGGAATTTGCTAGTCACATGATTGGATAATTGAAGTGAATATTCACACAATATATTGTGAGGAAATTCTGAACTCATTTAGTAAATGAGCCCAACTGTATCTTTACCTTGAATAGGCAAGAACAGTGTCTGTGAACATAAACACAATTAAAAAAGAAAATGTCAGCTCAAAAATCTATTCATGGTAATAGTACAATAATAATAATACACTATATTTCGCTTTTTAAAGGACAACTGCTTGTTTGGTACTATAGTCAATTACTAATTACAGTTAGTTACTGGTATCCCCCATATGTGTGTAGATTGCAATTGCTGTACATTAAAATCATGAGACATTGATTCTGCGTAAAGGTCCCAATGCGTTTTCCTGTTATGGATATAAACTAATATATAACTTTAAATATACCGTAGTTTACCTTGTAATCACTTTCAATGAAGTCCATAAAATGTGCTTTTTTTTTTTTTTTAAGGGTTCTCGATTGTGGTGACTTCAATTTGGCCATATCTTCAAAAGGTTAACTATGTTTATCACTTTTCATCATTGGTTTATAATTTATTCTGTTAAAATATTTATTAAAGAAGACATTCTGGAAATTCTAAAGCTTTGTAAGAGTTAAGGGTTATGAGTAGCGGTGCCCCGAAATGAAATTTTCAAATCCGAAACGAAACCAAAAAAAACAAGTCAGACCAGAACCAAATTTTTTTAAATTTTCTAACCTTTTTTAAAATTATTTTTATTTTTTTTACTTTACTGTTGTGGGCTTTGGGGAAATATTAGGGGTCTAAACAGACTCCTGGTATTTTCCTTTTAAAATAGAAAGAGATTGAGAACACAGAGTCCTCTATCTCTTTTTCTGCAGCCCGTGTTATAAATGAACAGGAAGCCCCTGTACTCAGTGTTCCTGCTCATTCATAACTTTTTAGAGATAGTACGTTTACTATAGCCACAATCATGAATAAACAGGAGGTGATGTAGATCACTTCCCATTCATTCATAATCGAGGACACAGTTTACATACTGTGTCCTCGATTATTTACAAACACTCAGCGATCACTGATCGACTGCTTGTACCCTCTTCTCCATCCTGACTCGCTGTCACAGGAGGCCGAACGAGCGGTGCGGGGAGGAGAGCTCAGCCTTCTGTGACAGCGCTCACAGCTGTCACCGCCCACACATCGCTCTCCTGATCTGTCACAGGAGGCTGAGCGGTGCAGGAGGAGAGACCCCTGGCCAAAAGACGGCACTTTCTGCATTTTGCCAAAAGGTCAATGTTCGGCCTATGGTTATGAGTAAGTTATACTTTGTCTGACCATACACATAACTAAGAGAGATGACCCTGGGCATGGTGTGAACCCAGTTCACCTGAGTTTGCCCAAGTCTGTTCAAAACTGTGACAGTCCCCTTCCCCTCCTCACTGAATCACTGGTGGCAGTTGCAGCAGGAAATGCCCATTTGTGACGTATAGCTGCATGGTGGGGAATGCGCCTCTCTGCAACTAATTGGACCGGTGAGGAGGGTGTGTCCGTCACAGTTTTGAGTGGACTTGGGCAAACTGGGTTAGCATTAGGGATGCACCGATACCACTTTTTTAAGACCGAGTACCAATACTTTTGATCAAGTACTCACAGATACCAATTACCGATACTTTTTCTTAAAGGGACAGGTCACATTTTTTCTAAAGCAATACAAACTAATGCTTTAAGGTCACTTTCTTAATATTATGATTCATGAGATGACGAGGGAGCATGAGGCCGGCTTCCCAGCCAATCAGAATGCCGGGCGCTGCGCCATTACACGGTGCCCGGCTTCCGGATTTGCTAGCTTCCTGACCAATCGGAAGCCCGGCAGTGCGTCATTGCACGCTGACGAGAGAGCATGGAGCCGTTTTCCTGGCCAATCAGGAAACCGGGCAGCGTGTAATGATGCGCTGCCTGGCTTCCTGATACAGAAGTACTCGTGCTAGGTATCGGAGCATTTGGGCGAGTACTCACCAAAATACTCGGTATCGGCACGATACCGATACTAGTATCGGTGCATCCCTTGTTCGCATGAAGCCCAAGCTCATCACTAAAAACAATAAACAACAGATTGTAGATTTGGTTGTTTTAAATGATCTTTTGTTTGAAAATGATTATTCGTCAAAACAAAGAAAAAGATTATTTTGTCACAATTTATTCAGATTTTCTGCCTTGGCAGATTGTCCCTATTTGATAAAATTGATTGTATATACATTTAGTGCATTTGATTTGTGCAAGCTATAATGCTTTCATTAAATCAATCTTATTGATAAATTGTATTGTGACTTGTAAAAAAAAACACAATGGCATCCCTTACAAGAGAAAGTGTGTTCAAATCTCAGTTTTCCATGCTGTGTGGCACACTTTTCAGTCTCGGGGCTCTATTCTCCAGCATCTGAATTGATAACCCAGAGCTGTAATGCAAACCTTCTTATCTTGACCACTTCTATGCTGCCAGGCTTACTTGTTGGAGCCCTAAATAAAACCCTGTACCTCTGGGAATGAGACGCTCATGAAGCACGTCCCACTCCCAACTTTTACACAATTTGTGGGGGTTCTGTGGACAGAGGAGTAAACTGAAGATAAGAACAAACACCCAATGGTTTGACCTTTTACAGCATCCATGTAATATTCTTTGTGTCAGTACTGAACTGCTTTAGGCTTGGCTTAGTAGGACATATCGTTTTATGGAATTCTCAGGCTTCACCCTGCAAATATTGCTATTTTGTTTTAACCTTGTCTGCAGTTTTCCATTGCGCTGATTTAGAAATGCTGAAAGATGGAAGATGAAAGCAGGAAACATTTCTGTATTACCCATAGTTACCAATCACATCTCCTGCTATATTTCTGTATTACCCATAGTTACCAATCACATCTCCTGCTATATTTCTGTATTACCCATAGTTACCAATCACATCTCCTGCTATATTTCTGTATTACCCATAGTTACCAATCACATCTCCTGCTATATTTCTCTATTACCCGTAGTTACCAATCACACCTCCAGCTATCATTTATCCATGGCTGACGGTTGCCTTGCATGCTCTACATTCCATTACATATCACTCTGTATGAATATAAGCCTGCAAGTCTGTAGGACATTCTGACATACACTTTGAAAAAGTGATCAGTGCTGTAAATTGCTATTAGTATTATTAGGTCTCATTCACGTGAGCATGCATGCTGTGCAACTGTGCTCGTCCATGTGAATGGAGTCTTAGAATAGTCATTTCTAGTTTATGTGTGTATTGTGGAGTGGTATGCAGTTTAATTAGATTATTTACAATTGGTATAAACGATTTGCTTTTCTTGCTGAATAAAAAGATTACAATTCTTAATCCATATTTACTGTTTCTCATTTTTCTCAGATTGATTCAAGTGCTGAAACAAGTTTCCTGGGCTGGGTGATAGCTTCCTACAGTTTGGGTCAGATGATTGCCTCACCCCTGTTTGGTTTATGGTCTAATCATAGGCCAAGACGAGAACCTCTAGTTGTCTCCATCTCCATACTGGTGGCAGCCAGCTGTCTTTATGCCTATGTACATGTTCCTACCAGCCACAACAAGTATTACATGCTTGCTGCCCGTTCTCTGGTTGGCTTCGGATCAGGTGTGTTGCTATAAATACATTCAGGGAACTGAATTTTGTTTTGAGTTTCATTTGTTATTATTCACTTCCATTTTTTAAAGCCATCAAATTACTATCATTTTAATTTTGTTTAAATTCTAGGCAATGTTGCTGTTGTTAGATCGTATGTTGCTGGTGCAACTTCCATTTCTGAAAGGACAAGTGCAATGGCAAACATAAGTGCTTTCCAAGCTCTAGGATTTATCTTGGGCCCTGGTAGGTAGGTTATTGGAAATAACATGGGATTGTGGACAGGCCTTTCATTTTCGCCAAATAAACTTAGTATACATTCTCTTTGCCAGCATTCCAGGCTGCCTTCACTCTGATTGGAGAAAAGGGGGTAACCTTCGCTGCTATTGACCTCCAGCTGAACATGTACACCACCCCATCGCTCATGGGTGCAGTTCTTGGCATTGTGAACATCATTCTGATCTTTGTTAAATTCAGGTATTACGATTATTTTCTTAACACTGTTACATATTTTTAATTATCTACTGTGGTAGGGAGATAGAAATAATCCTGTGTATTGTTTAGTGTGGAATAAATTGGTATTGCCTAAACACAGTCAATAATACTTATAAAGGCAAACCATAGAGTGGTTAGAACCAATGCCAGGTTTTTATTGCTGTCTGTGTTCCCATACAGAATATTCACACTCTTTATTTGTCCTGGTCACCAATGTCACCGGGAATAAAAGGGAGAGAAAATTCAGAATAGGAATAGAGGGGAAATCTTTTAATGGGGACACTTGTTTCTGTGACAACTGTCTAAGAGTAAGAGAGGATTTCCCTCACATTAGAAATAGATGCTATTACTTCCTGTTGCATCTTTAGTAGAGGAAGTAAAGGGAAATCTCTCCTTATTGAGACACAGATGGCAAAAAACTGACATTAACACTCCTCTATCGCAATTGGGAATTTTTTTTAGACTTTTAGACATAAATGTAAACAAGTACCAAATTAAGAAGAGTTTACCTCTTTGTGATGAACTGAGGTCATCCACATTTTACATTTACAAAGCAACACCTAAATTAAAAAGACCCTGTCACCAGACCATTCATTTTGACAACAATATTTCCATAAGATTATATGGACATTCAACATATACAGGTGAAACTCGAATAATTAGAATATCATGCAAAAGTAATTGCAGTAAGTGCTGCAAAAGGGGCCCAAACCAAGTACTGAGTACATATGCATGCTTTTACATTTCAGAGGTCCGATATTGTTCTATGTACAATCCTTGTTTTATTGATTGCATGTAATAATCAACTTTTTTGAGGTTGTGGATTTGGGGTTCTTGGGGTTTTCATGAGCTGTAAGCTATAATCATCACAATTATGACAAATCACGGCTTGAACTATCTTGCTTTGCATGTAATGAGTCTATCTCATATATTGGTTTCACCTTTTAAGTTGCATTAGTGAAATAAATGAACTTTGCACGATATTCTAATTATTCGAGTTTCACCTGTATTATGCATGTTGTTTACCTGTAGAAGTTTCCCTTGTGTAGACATCCAAAAGGCCTGAGACTGCTAATGGGCAGGATGTCAGCAGCCCCTGAACACCCAGCTCTGCCACTCAAGTGGTGCTCTGTACAGTATTCCCCCTCACCCTTCCTCCTCCTGCTGCTACATAACCTCTCTTTATGCATGCTTGAAAGGTGTAAAATGTGCAGACATATAACTCTACTGACATAAATGTAAACGGAGCACAGTGGAGGAAGTGCCAGTCCCACCATTATTCTGCTGAATCTTAAAGATCATATTTATTATTGGCATTTATATAGCGCCGACCAATTTATGCAGCACTTCACATAGAGCACATTCACATCAGTCCCTGCCCTAAAGGAACTTGCAATCTAAGGTCCCTATCTCACATGCATACATATAGGGCCAATTTAGACAGGAGCCAATTAACCTTCCACGCAAGCACAGGGAGACCATGCAAACTCCTTGCAGATCGTGAACTGGCCAGGATTCGAACCAGGGATCCCCAGTGCTGCAAGGCAGAGGCGCTAACCCCTATACAAAACGGATCTAACAGCGGTAAATGAATAATTCCGGCACTGACATGGGCTGCTACTCCTGGCAGCCCATGTTTACTTCTTTTACACAGTTTAACATGTAATATGCAGGTTCTACCATCCCTTCAAATGTACAGTAGTTATTATGTTGACTTGATTAGACTGTTCATAATTATTCTTTAACTCTTGTGGCTTAGCTTTATAAAATAACACATACGCACATCTAAAGGGATATTTGAGGATGATGTTTTTTTTTGGCATAGGCTAAAATTTGCCTGATATCTACTAAGAACTTGTGGAATATAGCTTATTATTAAAATACGGGCCCCCAGGTGCTTCTGGACGTAATCGGCTAGTATTCACATCATTGCAGACTTGCCTACCAAACTGATCCCATCCAGCACTGTGCTCTCCCTCATTGGTGCTTCCATCTTCTCCCCGCTTTTTTTGCCGGGTTTCAAGTGCTCAGCCATTCGATTGGCCAGGCCCCGATGACATAACTCCCGTGGATGTGCATGGGAGTTACTTCATCTCGGCATGCAAGGTCTGGGCATTGAGCTTCTCTGTGTACAGAAATAAGGAACTGCTGAATGGTAGAAAGAAGCTTTTATGATAGGAGAGACTTGCACATTCTCTTCTGTCATAGGAAGTCTACCAATTGGCAGTTTTTTTTAACCCTTAATTCCACTTTAAAGGCACAGTTCCATCTCTGTGCTTAGATTCAAGCTCCTCTCATTTCTCTCTGGCTAATGAGGGGCACACAGCCCCCTTTCAAAAATGGAACTCAAGGAAAATT